GAATTTTGCATTTCTATAAAGCCAATTAAAAGATTAGTGCTAAGAAAAAAAACCGAAAAAAACCGGCTAGGATCACGGCTTTAGGATCACCTTAAGTGTTCAGAATTGTCACAATTGTTCTGAATTTTTAAGCATCTTTTAAAGCTTTAAACAGTAAAGAATACATTAAACAACATTTACTTCAATTTATGTTTTTTTACGAAAGCAACTTCACCTATACCCTATAACCCCGAAACCGTTGGAATTCGGACATATGTTTATTAGACATTTTCGACTTTTTTCACGTGCTAAAGCCGCTATGCCAATTTTAGCACTAAGTTCAGGAACACCCTGTAACTAAAATTTGCATTATTATCTCTCAGAACTTTTATTACACTTACTATTCTTAAAAATTTAAATAGAAGCTACTCAAGTACCTTTGATAATTGTTGTCCTGTTTACATAGCCCTTGGCGCTTCTATCTTGGGGATGCAGATTGACCATGTCTTACGTGAATCCCACAGTGGTGAGGCGTTTTATACAGACAAGGGCCCTTCGCGGTCCGGAAAAGAATGCTGACGATGGTCAATTCGAGGACGGACTGCTGAGTCGATCAAGCATAGTGACAGACGAAGTCGATTCCGTTCTTTGTCCTAATATATAAACGAATGTACATAATAATACAAGTAGCGTGATATCTCCTAGCATTTACAAAACTCGTAATTTACATTCATATTTTGTACATATTATTTAAATGCGTCTAGAGTTCTCGTCTATTTTTTTTTTATTATGTGTAACGTTTAGTCAGCGTGAAATTTTATTTATTTGCGATTTCAAAGCTATTCAGTAATAAGCGAGCCTGTTTCCTACATAGCTTGTAAATCTTACAAAATATTATCTACAATAAATCCATATGCAGATAAATACAGATAAAGATTCATTTTTTATGACTACGTCATTTTCGCCGGTCACGATCGGCATCTTGCATTTACAGAGAAGGATTGGAGGAGATGCTGAGAGGAACCCAAGAAACCAAACCGCTCCCTCTTTTTCTTTTATTCCCCATATATTCATATATTCTTCACCCTTCGAAGAAGATCATTAAATACATTGAACATCGTGTCGGTTTTTTGAATTCTCCTTGCGAACCGCTTATCTACAGATGTATAGTAACTTCACTGCAGTGCTGGTTATAATCTTTATTTTTGCGGATTACTTATCTCCAATGATATATAAAATTAGGGGTTAAGACGATCGTGATACGCTACTGTTGTTATCGGTAATGCAAAATATTCTACCCGACTACTCAATTGTAAGAGTCGTTACAACGTAAAAGAATATAATTGTACAGTGAACGCTTGACTTTCCTCCTCTCTCTTTCTTCTTCTTTTTTTTCGCTTTTGTGGATGAGTGTGTGAGTATCGAGAGTCGTTATTCTTACATCGTTGATGTTTCTTGAGTGCGGCACGAGCGGAAACTGGCGATTCGCGCCGGAAGGAGCGGAGATCGCGTCTTGCCGAATTGGGACTTATTTTTTCTCAGGAGGAATCGATCGTACCAGACAGCCTAAATGGTCTAGAAAAGTACTTGACACGAGATACCGTAATTTTTCAGATGATGTCCTCGTATTCGGAATGGCCTAAATAATTCAGACTATCTGATTTTCCAATCTTTTAGATATATCCTACATCGTAATTTTTTTAGACGTTTAAACTTGAATATTTCAATCTTTCAGATGTCTCTTTTTTTAATGTCCCAATTCTTCAGACTTGCCGTACTTTTTTTCTTTAGGCAGTCAAAGTTTTTAGATGTCGTTCAGATATCTCTTAGGTATCTTCCGAGCTCGCGTGCCACCGCGATGATATTATAAAGCCGCGATCTCGAGGCCGAAAGCTGATGCCCTTCCTGACACGAGCCGCTGCTTCGAGTCTCGTTGGTCGAGAGAATAAACGCGTTTTTATTTTATATCTTTTTACTTTTCGTGGCGCAATCCGGTGATTTCTAACTGCATTCGACACACTGGATTTCGCGATAAATTTTTTTTCGCCAGCCGCGTCTGGCAGTTGCCAGAGAGTGATATACACAGATTCCGAAATGATGAGAGCTCTAACGATAATAGTATCGATTTCCATATAGCGAAAATTGTACTGCAAAAGCCAAAAGCATTTTTTTTCGGTGCGGCCAGCGAGACGAGATTACAGTTTTGCAGCGATGTTCTCGAAGGCAGCTAGATTTCTTTGCCGGACGCACTCGACTAGAGGCCTACTGCTACGTACGCTCGTAAAAGGGATTTTTTTCTTTGTGCTTGATTACACGACGAAAGGGCACATTCACTTGATCATCGTATTATATCTCTATTGCAGAATTAATCGCGTCATTACATCCGAACAATAAAAGTCCGAGAAATATCTTGCTTGTTGCTTGTTTTCGCCAATATCGGTTGATTGTAGATGTAATATCTAATCGATTATTGCCTTTTCTTAGAACTAATGCTAGAAACAGACAGATAATTGCTTGAGATACGATCGAAATCAACCAACGTTGTTTGCAGATTGAGAATGTCATACACATTTGATTTGCGAGTGATCGTATTAAGAAAAAATATTTACTTTAAATAAATAGAAAATGCAATAAATATATGATATTAGTGAAAATATATACTCATTTACATATTCTATCAAATTATCAAATATTGAAAATTAAGGTAAATATTATTTATAAGATAAACCGCGATAATTTGTATCGTTGTTCAGTGGAATCAAAAAGTTATATGCGAGGATCAATAATTGGTAACTTCGTACGTAACGAAACTAATTGCAATTTTGATTAATTGATTACATAAAGTTTGAAACATAAACTACTTTCTTTTTGCAGCTTAATATATTTCTCAGGAAACTTTTAATTAAAGTTTCAATTTACACAATTCTCTCCTTAATTAGCATTTAAAAATTTTGTTTTTACTGTGTTTCTTTAATTCGTTCTAATTGTTATTTTCTTTAATTTTTCCAAGTTGTATTTCCATTTTCCATTTTCGCGGTAATTGTGTAATCACTATGTAAAACAGACGATTATCACTCGCGGATCAAACGTTTCTAGTCTCTCTCGGATATTTCTTGGATAGTTTCATTGTCTGAATGTTGGCCTCACTCTCTCTCTCTCTCCAACTTGTAAGATTCAGTGGTTCCTCCTGTGTGAAATCGGAAGTGAAGGCTCCCTCGGAGCCGACGAGGCGAGATGTACTTTTACCTCGCTCGTCCCCGAACGGTTACATAAGACGAGTCTCAGGGGCGGGTTTCTTAAAATTATTGCCGACTTTGTACAGTGTCAATGATGACGATGATGACCGGTGATAATAATAGTAATAGTAAACAGTTATCATTTATAGTCAGAGATAAGAACGTAAAATGCCAGATTTTTATATTGACGCGTCTGCTGTTGATTTCTTTTTTTTATGCCCTTTTTGCGGCTTTTTCGTTTCAGCATTTAAGTTTCTTATACGCGGAGAGAAATTACACAGCGCGCTCGCGAGATGTCGGATATACGTATAGGCAGAAAAAACACCGTTGACCTTAGAGTTCCTCTTTCGGTAAGTATTCCTGTTTAATACAGTATGCTCCTTTTTATTACTTTTACGAATCTCATCTATATGAAATACCTACAATAAAAAGTATCCATTATCTCTGTTACTCCTGCACGTGCTACGATTTAGTTTGTCTTTTTTTAGTTTTTTATTTTTTTAATTTAACATTTTCTCTTTCTTCTCTCGCTCTTTCTCATTCGTTCTCTCTCGCGCACACATTTCGTTTCTTTCTCTCTTACACACAAACACGCTCCCTTTCGCTCCTAATATTTCTTATCGGTTTCGATAAATTAAGTTTATTAATAATCTCACTTTGCCACGCCGTGATACGCGCGTGCGACTCTTATATTTTTTTATTTTAAACCGTTTAAGATTCTTCTCTTCTGTCGTTTGACGCCGCATCATCTCTCTCTTCTCCCCTCCTTTTTTTCGTTCTTTTCTCTTAGGACTCTCACGAAATTACAATTTACACTTGAAATTGGAATTGACACTCATAAGATTATTGAAGTAGCCTCTCGTATTTAATAATTGCACCGACATGACATCGACCCACATGTTCACGGACACCAGAGGATCCCTCCGCCTGCGTTCATTATTCTTCTTTTCCTCTCTCTTCTTTCTCTTCCGCGTGTTTGTTTTTATGTCCGGAAATGTCATGGATCGCGCGTCCGAAGATCTCTACGTAGATCAATCCGCCGCACAATCTTTCTTTTCTATCCTATTCTACGTACAAATGCAATGAAATAGCGTATTTATAATGATTAAACCGATGTTCCTCCTTTCTCTCTCTCTCACTCTCTTTCTATTCGAACTCCCGCAGTACGTAACTCCGGCTATAATCGCGATGAATAAATATAATTCGAGAACACGGAAATTGTGTCACTAGGTTTGTCGTTTTGTTATGTTTCTTCATAGTTCATCCCTCTCGACACGTTTTGCTGCGCTTTAAACCGCGGGGCAATGTTCTGCATGCGCGCTCGGGACAAAAAAGAATGAAGCTTCTCAAGGAAGACGTGCCAGCTTCCGCAATTAGCTACCTAACGAGACGCTCGCGAGGAAACAACGTTCACCGATTCCGCGATCCTAATTAGCGACAGAGAGCCGACTCTGAACGCGTTGCTCCAGTTCGCTGCTCTTTAAGTCGTCAGATTAAAAAAAAACAAAAAAAAACAAGGAAATGCTTTCTTGCGTCTTAACTGACGATAGTGATATGACGAAATCGCGAACGTGAAAAGGATTTCGAGCGTTGAAACGAGCAAAATCGAAAGCGATAAAAATCGTACAGATTAAGGACAACGAGATTAATTATAAACATCCGTACGGCCGATTCCTTAGTCCCGGGGGACTGGGACGGTCCTGGATGAGACGAGGATGAACGTCGGGATGATCGATCAATTGATAGTAACGAGGAAATGCGACATATCTTAAATCTTTAGGCCAGATTCGTTTAACGTACAGTTAACTGTCGTGCGCCGATAATGTTATTCTTATAGAATCTCACTCTCTTTCTCTCTCTCTCTCTCTCTCTCTCTCGCGCGCGCGCGCGCTCTCTTTATCTAGCAATAAGAAATTGACGACGATAGGTGTTTTCTCTCTCTCTCAAAATTCCTACCACGAGGAGTTCGCTATAAAGCTAAAATTACGAGATCTGAGGCTGTGGATTTCTGCGAGAGCGCGGATACATCGAATGGTCCGGACAGACTCGTCACGACGATCCGTTACGGAAATCCAATTGATCCGAGAAATAAGGCGATCGCACGTGAACAAGACTGCACGAAAGATCGATGTGGATTTAAACAATGAGAAGAAGAAAAAAACGTTTGCATTCGCCTTACGGGGCGTCACGCGACACGTTCAGTTAGGCGACTCGATGGAGCACGGGGAGATTAGAACATACGAATATGGGGCCGAAAGATGAAAACGTATAGTTTAAAAAGAGAAGGAGGCTTTCGCGCCCGCGTGACTCCTTTATTTCTCTTTACCTTCTTCGGTGACCGAAAGGATCTCTCCTCCTTCTCTTTTAAGTAACGCGAAGCTTCTCGACGGCACGAACAAAGCATCCTCTCCTCGAACGAAATCCATTTATCAGCCAGATAATAAATATCAGAGAGCGGTATACCTATCAACGACCGCAGTAACTCGTGACAGAGGGATTACGCGATTAAATCTTAGATCATCTTAATCGTATTGGATTATAATTAGATAGTAGATCGTAATGTTTGTTCTACCTAAACTAACAATTATTATGCTTTCTGTACAATGCAAGGTGTGATCTTAATATCTTCTTAATCATCGTTATTATTATTATTTAATGTTAATTATTACAGCAACGCGCACTTAAACGCGCGGTGCACAAAATCGTAATTGTATTCACCGTTATATCATTTTCCTTTCTTTCTCTCTCTCTCTTTCTCCTCCTTCCGTTTAAACATTAACCCATAATCTTCTCTGTAGAATGTATGCACCTCAACGTTCGTAATAATTATAATATACTCAACAAAACATTAACATTAACGTCGTCAGCACTCCGCCTGATACATTAAATCTGTCGAGGAGCAATATATAGGCGCTGCCAATAATAATATATAATTGTCAATATTAATAGTAATTTTCTTTCTCCTCGTGACACTTCTCTCTATCTACCTATCTATCTATCTATTTATATATATATATATATATGTTTTTTTAAATATGTATATGTATACATATCCGTGTCATACAGTAATCGCTCATTCTTTCTCATTCCGCCGATGGAATTATTCCTTAATTTTTTGTTTTCCATAACACCTATAATTATATTATTGCTGCAGCTTATGGCTCCTTCTCTCTGCTTCTCACGTATGCGCACACACACGTACACGCACTCGCACGTTCTCTCATTCTCACGCAATGCCTCTTGCTTCCCGCTCACTCATCATGCCCTCCGTTACTTCGTCCGCTGTTGGGGTTAATCGTTTCAAAGATGATACACCTTTTTCATGTGGTCGCGACTTCAAGAACCCACGTGTAATTTAATAAGAGGAATTTGAGAAAATATCGTGCACAGAAAAATTTTATAATTTGAGTTGTGGTGCAATCGTTTCACATGCACGCGCTCCGCGGTAATCTCGAAAAAACGACGAAAGACGGCCCGCGTTATTTAGGGGGGCGCGTCAACGGCTTCAGGATCCACGCGCTAAACTGCAAAGAAAAATAAGAGTAACGTGCGAGACTACCAATTTCTACCAATTGCAGATACAACTCAAAATCAAATTCGATCGTTCGAGCGCAATGGACAAATACGTGCGGCGTATTTTCAAGACTAGCGAGATACAAGGAAGTTACACTTGTCGAGCGATAGTGCGCAGGGGGAAAGGTAACGCAGGGGATTACTTTTGTCGAGGGTCCGCCGAGATTACAGAAGACGCGAAACGACGACCATCGTCCAAAGCGAGAATCGCGATTGACGATTGATAGTCGTCGTACCCAACACCTAATGGTGCGTACCGTGCAACACGAAATCGAAGACCGCAAACCCGTCGACTCGGTGAGAAAAAAAATCATCGGCCAAATTAACCGTCTAGAAGAGAAAACGGATTTTTTTACGTATTTCGCGTATATCGCACAATTTCCTGACTCCTCGTGTCCCAAATCGGGACATATGATGTCTTGGAAAAAAAACCGTCGTGTAGACGAATTAAATATTGTTATAAAAGACGTCATTAAGACATCTTCAAGACGTCTTATGATATGATGTCTCTGAGACATCTTATGTCTCGATTTGAGACACCGTGTTCAGTAGGTTGAGTCTATGCTAACGTCTGTGACGTGTCTGAACATTCGTCGTCTCTTCTGCCGGTCACATTCTGAAACATCGCGTACAGAACGCCTACAGAAAGACAGGATCGCTTCGTCTACACCTCGCTATATCGCGATTGATAATCGCGCTAATTACAGCTAAATATAATAGAAATATTGGAAGAATTGATTGTTTCTCTCAGTGAACACCTATTGGCCGAAACATCTCGAGTGAGCTATATCGTTTGAACAAACGAGACACAGTGAGAGTGCGCAAACACCTTTCACTCATTAAAATACCCGTTATAAAAATCACATTGCTCACGTCATTGCCCTTATCACCGTTAAGTTAAACGAGTACTCCGAGGGTTGATTGTGCCAACAGTATTTGGTTGCGAGTAATACGAAGTGTAAGGAGGAATGCTTAATTAATCCATTAAGTCTTGGGAAACTCTTACGCGATTTTCTGTTTTAATATCTTATAATTCGAATACTAATTAAAATTTTTAAACCATAATTGGCATTTAGGGGTAAAAAGAGTTGCTCTTTTGAAAATCTTATCGGCAATGCAACGGGGTGGGATATCTGAAAGAAATGATAATGATTGACAGTGGAAGTGAAAAAGTAAGTAAGCTCTGCCTTTTTCTTGACAAATATTCAACCAATAAATGATTTCATAACAAATCCATAACAAAAATTCTACTCAAAAAATAGATAAAATCATTTATTAATTGAATATTTGTCAGTAAAAGAGCAGAGATTACATTTTTTATCTCTACTTTCAACTATTGTTTCTCTTTTTTTCCCAAATATCCCATCCCATGGTCGCCGCCGGTAACTCCTAAATACCAATTGCGACTAAAAATTTTGATTAGGACCCAAAGATTTAAAAGGATAGAAAAGCGCTTAATGGGTAAAGCTAGGTTCTCTGATCTAACTGTACACTAACTGTATTAAATGCCTTGCTGTTTTTTTTTTTACGTGCGTGAAAAGGGGACTTGACGAACCGTGGTTAGTCGACGCTGGTGCACAATCTACCCCAAGTTATACGCTTCTCCTCAAGTTTGACCTCACGATTCGTACTTGACACGCCGTTATCCGCGAAGAAAAAACATCACCTAACTGATTCTTCGTGATCGTCCGGATACAAGGAGGTGTAGTGTAGAGATGTCGAAAACGTTACTCAGAGCCGGCGTGATATGTATAGCCGAGGGTTAAACCGCTGGTCGAGGTAGTAGAACTTTGCGAGTATCACTTAGGGCCAGTTTCACCAACATCGATTAACTGTAACCTTCGATTAAACTCACTCTTCGTCTCTTTATAAGGGGAACAGTTGGAAAGAGATGAAGAGTGAGTTTAATCGAAGGTTACAGTTAATCGACGTTGGTGAAACTGGCCCTTGATCGCCATTAACTTCTCCGCTTAAGTAATATCCGCCGAATTTTTCGGTAAACACGATTTAGCCGCTAAATACTTTGACTCTTCGAGATCGTCGGCGAAGAAAAGTTCGCGAAACCTCGTTCGAGGCTCGGAACAGTCTTCGCGCAAAGTGTACCGTAGAAATCGCTAGAAATCATCTGAAGAATATCACAACGTGAATAATTACTAAATACCAATTAGCGCTATTTATCTAGTAACGTACCGCCGTGAGAGGATTTATTAGCGGGAGTTACGAGCTATCTCTGGACAATGCAAATTTGGCGTACAAATTTTTAGTTCAGCAGTTTATCTCTCGCGTATATAAGCAGACACAGGTCGTATCAACGAGTGGAGAACGCGTTTTCAGAATGTGACTCGTCCGACTATTTTCGATATGCAGATCACAGTCAAAGAACGTAGAAGCTCTTCGGTAGCACGGCATCGTGCGTACATACATGCGTGCATTAGCCTTGCGACGAAGAGGAAAGTAGCCGCGAGCCGTTCATCGTCTTCGCGTTTGGAAGCACCATTGGGTGTCGGGCTCGGGTCGCGACGAGGCGGACACCACGAAGGTGGTGACTTTCGGAAGGTCGCATCGCGCGAACCGCCGTTTTCGGCGACGATGCGCGACGCGTGTTATAGTTATAATGACGCCTCGTCACATTCGACGGGGACATTCGTGCGCGCGCGAAGAAGAATAGGGCAAAGGCGAAGGGAGAGGGAAGGGAAAGGGGAAGGAAACACCGGCAGTGTCCTCGTGTCAATGGTCGTCCTGTCGACGATAGCACGACGTTGTGTCAGAGCGTCGATCGGGGATCTGTCGCTTGACCGACGGTGCGTACGTATCTCCGATCGATAGCTCTAGTCACGTTCTAGAGGGACGAGAGCGTTTTCTCGGCCCGTTCCATTCGCAAGGCCTCCCGTCGTCTATTATCTTTGCCGCGTAATCCGTGAGAGGAGAATGGACAGGGGGGGATGCGGGAAGGGGAGGGAAGAAGACCGATGAGGACGCACGCACAAAAAGAGCTTAGGCTCTTGAGCTTCGTCGTGACGAGCGGGGCGAGCAAAGGGCAGGGGAGAGTACCGACCTGGGGACTGACTGCTAAAGGCGGAAATTTGTCGGGAAATTTGTCGAATTAATATTTGAATAGAAAAACGAGGGATAATTGTTTCTTCCTCTCTCTCTCCTCTCTTCGTATTTTTCTTTTCGACCAAACGCGACTAGCGCACTAGCTATCAGAGGAGACTTTTAAGACGAAGATGACGCAAACGCAACGATGACGATGATGACGAACAATGATGAGGATGGCGATGATGATGACGTCGACGGCGACACCGATGTTCCTTTATCTCTTTGGTTTTCTTCGTGTCGAGCTGGAGAACGCGTGTAATAGACTGAAGGCTCTAGCTCTAGCGATGATGGGTGTTACGATAGAAGTGCGCCGATGATGACGCCTTCGACAATGACGATCTCCTTTCGTCCGATGGCGATCAGCTTCACGTATCGAAGTGATATGAGTGAATGCTGGCGCTGCCGGCGGTTCGGAATTAGGTACACGATGCTGCTGATGTCTTTGGACTTTTCTGAACAAAAAGATCGTCCAAGTGGCGTACAATGGCAGAAAAATGGCAGACATAAAAATCTTATCGGTTTAACGCTAGAATGGCAGTTGGGAACGTTACTTCATAAAAGTAAACCGCGTTATTGTTATCGTTACTAAGAAAGTAACGATTCGTTACTTTTGCATTACTATTTTGTAATACTAAAATAAAATATTTGACTTTAATTTTTCTAATTTCTTGTATTAATATTTATCTTTATAAGAAACTAAATCGTAATTTAAAAACGCAAATTTTATCAAAAGTTACTATTGTTTTATCGTTATATAGATTGTAATATCGTTATTAATGTTATGCATTTTAATAGTACCAAACTGCTAGTATTAACCCTAGAGAGCATCCCTTAATTTTTTCATACGTGAAAGGCCAAACGGGGTAATAAATTACCCCAAACTTGTACCGCGTGTATAATGTTTCTATTTGTTGTTAGACAACTTTCTAATAGATAAGTTTGTTTGTTTTTTAATAGGAAAGACGATAGTAGTCATCAATTTGCGGTAGTAAAAAGAAAACAGTTAAAAAATTTCGAAAAACAAAAAAAAACCAAAAATTGAGCTGAAATGACTATTTTTATAAAAAATGCTGTAGTTTTTCATAAAATTCACTAATTTTAAAATTTTCAACGGATTTTGAAAGACGAATAAACAACCTTCAAGTGCATGTAAGCGATTTTTTTGTTTCTTAAAAAAAACATATTTCTTTGAACGTCTGAAGTAGAGAAAATGATGAAAAACTGTCGGATGGGAAAAATCGCAAGAAATGGAAAGTAAAACAGATTCTGTCGATTATTATTTATTTGAAAGGTAGTCAAAAGTTATAAAAGTATATGGACAGTAAAATTAACTCCACAAAAACTTTACAAAGTTTTAATCAGTTGCTGTGCAAGAACAGCAAAAATGAAATAATTGACCGAATCTTAAACAATTATATATGAAATAGGGGTAGAATTTTCCGGGGAGTGCTATAAAGTGTATAATTTTTCGATACCGATTTTCACAAAAAATCTGAAATATACTTTACTGTGGTAAATGTTGAGCGTAAACGGCCAAAGGGAGTAATACGTTACCCCAAACGATTTCCTTTTTCGGTTTTCAGTTGCTGCACGGATCTAATGCACTCGCTGAATGACGGAGGTCGACTGCCGGATGACTAAACTGAATTATGGTTAGGGTCTCGGTATGAAAACTAACCTTCTTAAGTCAGGGGCATAATTTGAATTTCGCGTGGGGTAACGTATTACCCCAGAAGTGCTCTCTAGGGTTAAAAATCTATAGTTTATGTTACATATGCACTGGGCTCAACTGATTCGTTAACCGCGTGATGCGGGAAAAGATGTTAGAAGGAAATAATTCTATCCAATCAAGAATACTTAATACACGCTTTCAGTGCAATCTATTAAATAGAGATAACTAAAGTAACAATAAAAATGAAACGGTTGAATTCGTTACCGTTACTGTAAAAATGTAACGACGTTACCGTTACCGTTACAGACAAAAAAATAACGATTGTTGGCGAGAAAAGTAACGGAAACGGTAACGGCGTTACAAGTAACGCGTTACTTCCCAACTCTGTAATAAGAATGGCAATGTATCACCTAGTGCTATTGTTAAGCTTCAGCGAGTAAATTTGTCACTTGAAATAGTGAAACGCGATAAAAGGTGAATTTTAAATTGAAAAACTCTCGAGTTGAAAATTGACACATCATTGCACGTTACTCCGACGTAGCAGCGAGCAATCCAATTACGATTACAGCGTTAGACGTCAATAAATCGACTATTCACGTGCGATACGTTCTTATCGTTATCCGGATATTCCCGATACGACAGAATGTCAAATGTCACGCGTCCTGGCCCGGCCACGTACCTGGTTTTGGCGTTCACAGTCCGAAGTATCCACCGATGGTGGTGGCGACGACAACGCCCAATATGGCGAGGCAAATCATGATCATAATCTTCTTCTGCACTCGGCATTAACAGAGATCGATAAAGGTTTAATATAATCTATTACAAAGCTTCCTCTCTCTCTCTCACTCCTGACTCTCTCCCCTAAATCTCTCTATCCTCATATTTCCCTCTCTTTCTCTTTCTCCCTCCCTCCCTCTACCTCCCGTTCTGTCTCTCAAACTCGATACCCTGCTTGTGTGCTCTCGATACCTCTGTCCATTATTATTACGCTACACATTACAATTGTTTACTTATCGATCTACCGTGTCGTAGAGCACCTAAAAGAAATTGGAATCTTGCTCGTTGCCGGCGTGAGCTGCGCACGTTGCAGTGGCCTGCGTAAAAAAATGATACATGAGTATGTAACTGTGATGTACATCCGAAGCAGAAATTGCAACTGAACAGAAGCTGAATTCTCACGAGACGTAGACTTCCATGCAATTTTAAAGTTGAATCGCGTCAGGATATGATGTGATTCTAATAAATAAGTAACTTTGACTTGCTATACATTTTTAATTTGAATAATCTTATCTTCAATGTATACAGGACGTCCCAAATATTTGATCTCGCCCATCGTCTAAAAGTTTTTAACTAATTTTGATTTACATATTCCCGAGAGAGAGAAAATTTAGATTGTCAACTTTGAGAATTGAAAATATTCTTCAAGTACAAACTTCAGAGAAAATTTTGAAAGAAATGACGTACAGCTGAGAAAAAATCGCACCAAGATCTTCAGCTTCAATTTGGTTGAAAAATTCAGAGATGATAAAAAGTACGAGAAATCTGGAACGTCTTGCACACAAGAGAAATAAATGTGATCGATCATAGAGTTAATTTTGTATTTAAAATGTAGAAACATTTCTCGCGACAGTATCAATAACGAAAAATCGTGTAAGCCTTACTTCTAATAGAATAAAAGAGGAATCAATGAGGCGATCAAAGAGATCGGCATTAGTCGAAAAAAAAAAGAGAATACAGACCTTCATTGATCGACACTGTTAACGTCCATTTTCTTCGGAGCTTCCTTCCTCTTGTGCAGCTTCAACGACGTATTCCCAATTCGGCTCGTTCCTAATTCGTCTTATCCCGCGTCCCTCTCTCTCTCTTTCTTCGCAGCAAACGTAGAGTAGGTACTCCCGCCAAGGAAATTTACAACTGGTGTCTGAGCCGATCCTCACGAGCGATCGGACGCGCTGCCATTGCTTTTCTCTTGTATAAAACGCGACGCGAATTCTATTATCTTCGCGACTCTATTATCATCTCGTGCGATCGGCGCTGGTTATTATTATTATCTCATTTTACTCGCGCCTAGCTGCTACTAGCGTTACAATTTTTCCTTTTCAGTTTTCTTTCTCCGCGAGGCGATAAGGTATAATAAAGACGACAGAGAAAAAAAGGCGGCGTGCCGTGAACGATGCCGCCGTTCTCCTATCTAACAGTTTCTTTTTTTCATTATTTTTTTTAACGCTGAATACACCCGAAGAGAAGAAAATTCCTACTACGCTATCGGCATTAATGATTAATATTGTGTTACTCCTTTTTTCTCTCGTTATCTCGTCATTATTATTATTATTATCTGCTCTATACAAATTGCGATTATTTACATGTACAATGCGGGGCGCCGTACCACGTGTCGCGCGGTCTGCATTGCGACGACGGCGATTATTAGAGTTCGGGCGATCGATATCTGTTCATCGGAGCGTGTTGTAGACGTATCGCGAAGATACGTCGTCATCGCGCGCGGATTAACCGTCTCGACCGAGCGGAAACCCTCGCGTCAGCCAAGACGGTGACTGAAGCACGCGGCACGAGGAAGGTGGCGACCGTCTTCCGTCGCATTTCGCGCAGAGACGATCGATCAGTTCTGGGACAAATCTGGAAGCGTTCCCGCGAGCTCCATCAACAACTCGCGCGCTGCACGCCGGCTCAGATTGCCTTCCGCCGTTATCTAGACTCCGGAGAGTAGAGAGATCGCCGATTTCGCGACACCGAGCGAATCTGCGGCGACAAACAAACGATCCGCGGGGATAGACATCGATTTTCGACAAGAACGAAGATTGATAATGCGGACTCGAATATCTTCACGCTCGTCGTACGCTGCGTTTCGAGAATCGTCGTCCTCGAAGACACGCTCTCGAGCTTTATAAATTATATTTTCTTAGCCAATTATCAACCTGATTTCGGGAAAAATTTAACAAATAGACTGCGTGATATATATTAAGACAAATATTTCTTAAATTAAACTTAATATGAATTTTTGCCCTCATGTTTAAACCTTCCTCGATTCAAACCGTTGCACTAATCTTTTTATTTAAAGTGCGAGTGAGGGTAAGAATTCCGCGGGCACAAAATATGTTGTCTTATTTTAGTGATTTTGGTCGCTTCCGCATGAAAGATCGCTGACAATTTCTTCTCCAGTCGAAATCGATGTTCGCGGTGACAAATATAGGAAGAAAAATAAAATGTAAAAAGTTACGAACAGTTCGGTTTGCTATCGCCGCACTTCGTATAACCGAGGGCTTTTCGTCAAATCGGCGGCGAGCTTCGCCTGAAGACGATTTGAGGAAAAAGGCGCGCGTGCGTTCGAGATCTCGTGATGAGTCGCGCGTGATTCTATAGATTCTCGCAATCGCCGTCTTCGTTAATCGCTCGCGTCGCAACTTCGACTAGGGAACGATGAAGTGGCGGAAATAACAAAAGTGAAAAAGAAAAATAACAAAAGGCAGTGCGAAGGTGCGCCTGAATGCGAGGAGAAGCTATCGGTAAAATGGGGTATCGATTTCCCTGGTCGCATACCGAAGAAAACACCGACCTCGGTAATTTTTCTCTCGGCGTTTCTCTCACCTCCATTTTCTACGATTTAACGCAAACTCGCAGCGCGTTTAACAAACATTTTAAGTAAACGTAAGTGCTTAATTCGTACGAGCGTCATAATTTTTCTTGAAAATTTCAAGAACCGTCCGCTCCGCAGGTTCACAGAAATTGTCGTATCGATTTCTTCTCGGCGAGAAAGACGGTTTCCTCGGAAAGGAGATTAACTTGAAACTTGACATCGCAATTTTGCGCGCTCTCCGACGTATCGAGGCGCATGAAGGAACTTCGTTGCGAGTCTCCGCTAATAACACGACGGTTTACTTTGTGTAACCGAGACCCCGCAACGTGTGTGTCGTCACCGTTCCCACAGCCTCCCAACTGGCGTTACGACGTTCGCGACGTCTACGAGGCGTTCTCCGGAAAGTTACATCCGCACGATCGATCCTGATTATACCGTCACAATCGGGTACACGATCGGGTTAATCCGCGGGTCGAGTGACGCGAGCGTGAGCACCGCAAAAAAAAAGAAATCAATAATTTGTTACGAGTGACAATAAATAAACGTATAAACACATATTTATTAAGAATCAATAATAAATAAACGTAATGGTTTGTTGCGGGATATATCGGCGATATTTTCGGGAGCCGGAAATCGGCGGCGCGTGTCGCCCTCGATTTCAGACGAAGATTCAAGATCGACGCGATCGGCGTTAATCTTCCGTTACGATCCTGGCTCATTGATGGAACGGGACAAGAGCGAGGGACGACGGGTAATATTTGGCAGATCCACAAATACCCGTTCCTTCCCGATTTGTTCCATCTTTTTTCTTTTCTTCCGTTAAACTTGCTTCGCGAATGTGTTTATCTCTTTCTTTTTTTGTCGCCAATGTCGCGCGCGCGCGCGCGCACTTAAGCTAACTTAAACTAACTACCAGAATGATAATCAGAATGATGACTGCTATCGTCACGCAGGTCAATATCAGGAACAATTTCTGCAAAATAAAATAATTCCGTGACCGTTTGGAAAAACAAAACGAAAAAAGAAAAGAAAGAAAAAAGAAGAAGAAGAGAAACGAAATGACAGCTTTGCGATTGAACTGAAATCGCAATGGTTCTGGTTCGAGATAAAATGACGGTTCCGACTTCGAGCGTTCGATTATATTGTTAGATACTTCGATCGAAAGTGTCTATAAACGCTACTATATCAACATTTGCCTTCCAAATCTCTGTATTGACAATATATTCTTCCGGTATCTTCTCCACGTTTTTTATTGCTTTAATTCAATGACCAACGGATATTCGTTATACAGAAACGTTCCATATTTCTCTCTTCGCCGTCTTTCGTTCTCCTTGAGCAATATGGAACCGAGATTTTCCAGAACGCAAATTTTATTGGGTTTCTTTTTTCAATTTTTATTACATATTGCTACGAATAAATTGCAGAATTTTGGAATTACGTTGACATCCGGGTTGCTCACAGAATTTATAGGTGAAATGCAGCAAACTTGGAGAACATCTAACACATTCGCGCGCGTACGCGTCTTCATGGACGAATTTTGATAAGTAACAATAAAAGTACATATGTACTACACATAAATAAATATATACGACAGATAGAAACGATTCGAATCAATGCGCTGCTAAATACATTTTATTCTTCGCCAATTAATTTCGTATATCTCGAAGTACGGAACGAAATTTTCGTTACTTTAATTTGTCAAACAAATGGCAAATGACGAATGTGTATTGATTAAATGAGAAACAATTTTTGACGATGATCTCGAGTTTCCTCCGGAAACATTTCCACATCTCCACGTCTTTACAGTTTCCTGCGGTTAATCACAAGCACAGTTATCGATTATTTGCACAAATAAAACTGATAAGACGGGGGTAACCCTGAAATCGAGATTACCGCGCGTCTCTCGGGCGGAGATCGTTTCGAGACATTCGCGATCCGGAGGAACACGTCGAGCGGTAATGAAGTGTACTTACAGTTAACGAAACGAGCGAATGCGATGAGTGCGCGGGATTATTACGTTAATTAGTCGTTCGTTACAGAGATTAGTCGGAGGATTATCGTCGTAAGATTACGGAGAGAGACGTGTGTTATTCAGGATCGGCGCGGGACATCCGTTTTTTGTTAACTGCATTTCTATTTCCCTTTGTCTATTTTTCGGCTTGTTAGCGCACGTGTGACTTTTAAGGATATACGTTCACAGCTCTCATAGGCGACCACCACCATAATTGCTCCATCGTCCGTTCCCTCCCCCACGGAACTTCTGATCACACTGCACATCCGATCTCACGCGCGTTTCCCACTTCCCCCCCCTCCCCAAGTTGACCGCAACTAAATTTTTCTGCATTATTATTGTTATTTTGCTATTATTATATCATTATTACTACTATTATTAATATTATTATTATGACATTTTCGCTGTCGCGTCGCAGTCGTTTTCCCTTTCTCTCTCTGCCTTCTCCTTGGAAACTTTTAAACGCCCCTCTCGTTCGCCTAACTTTCCTTCTCCCACAAAAAAAGAAAACACCCCCCTCGGCCGTTTAATGTCCCGGAATGAGCGCTACTATTATGGCGACTAGTATGACCGCCGATATTAGAACGCAGATTGTGATGAAGATCATTTTCTGTGGACAGAAAAGCAGAGGAGGCCACGTATAAGGTATACGCGCGTATATATGTGTCTCATATCGGCGAAGAATCGAAAAAATCGAAAAAGAGAGAGAAAAAGATGATGAGGGTGTATATCGAACGTTACGCGGCGTGCCTCGGGAGAAAAATTGTAAGAAAGCCGAAACACGTAAATACGTACCTTTGAGAGAAATCGGGAAAGTAAAAAGAGAAAGAGAAAAATATTTGACGGTGTGACGGCGAAAAGATGAAATAAGAGAGAACGAGAGAGAAAGAAGAAAAAACCTTACAAAATTGTACGAGTGCAGTGGATCGGAAATCAAAACTCAAAACTTGCGGGAGAAGAAACGATGGGAAAAAGCGTGTCAGAAGCGAGTGTGTGATTCACGTGTTCGCTCATGCTGACTTGCATTACCGCATACAAGTGATGCATTTTGATTTCGTGACCAAAAGGAAGAGAAGAAAAAAGAAAAATCTTGTTTCGCTCCGATGCGCCTGTAATTTCTGTTTTGCTAGAAACGCTTTATCAAATATATTTACTTGCCTCGTTAGTTAACGTTAGTTCGCAAATAAAACGGTTAAAACGCGAAAGAAAAGAATTGCAATCAATGTAAAGAATAAAATGCAAAGTGACGATAATAACTTCACTGTGACGCGAAATTAAACATATTTGCAAGGAAGTTTGACAAGGAAAAAAGAACTGTAAGCGTTTGATTAATGGTTTAATTAACTTGTGACACAACAATGTCTAATATTTTAATAAAATAGACGCAATTGTCTTGGAAATATCCAGAGAAAGCTCAATTGTTCAATATCTACAAGTAAAAAAAGTATATTAATGAAATGTTATAAATTTTTGAAATGGAGGTTCTACTGCTCTTTTTAGCATTAAAAGAAACAAATACTTTTGAGTAACTTTTTACCGCATTATTCGTAAAATAGAGAATAAAATGTTAGTTAAAAGCAGTCAATGTTAATGTATGTAGTATTATGGACAATAACTTTTAGGGAAGTGGGAGGTGAGTTGGGTGTCAAACATAATCAAGCGCATTCCTCATACAACTAAATGATGCGGGTGCGTTCACAAACTAATTAGTTTACAAACACCAAACCGTATCTACCACTTCTACCCGATACCATAAAGACTCGTTTGTCCGCTACATGTCCTACTTCATTACATCGTCTCTGTGCAAATCTAGAGAACAGCGCATTCATCTATTCGTCGTACTAGTACAGTCTACTCGACATCGATTACACTTCATCTCTTTTACCGCGATCCCACGATGGACTTCGATCGCGTAACGTAACACAAAGAAGAATAACATGATTAGCACGAGTGCAATTGTGTACGCTATACATTAGACACAAGAGATTAAAGGTCAATCACAAGAAACAAGGTTCGAATCCCACTCGATACGAGGTGCCTGATCGTAGGGTAGTATCAGAGACGAAGGAAATTATTCCAGGAGCAAAAAAGAATTTGTTGTACAAATTTGTCGTGTCGGTAACTTTTATATTTACATTACGCAAGATTGACGTTAAAATATCGATTCTCTCTCACATTCTATGCACTAAAATTTCAGATAAAAAATTTTTATAAAAACTCGTTCTTCGTACATGCAAAAATTCATGTTTTCTCGGATGGACATTCTTAAATCGCGCGATCCGATAAGCTCTCCTGCTATTTTTAACATCGATTCTCTGCGGCAGGCCAGACGAGTTCCAACTGAAACGTATCCAAGTGAAAATGTTCGCTTTGAAGATCACAATGGGGGAGTTAGAGAGGTCAAAATTCTACGCGAAGACCGCGCGGCGCGAAGAGGCGAGAATGATAACAATGCAAGAGAAGAATGTTATTCCGCGATAATGTTTTGAAGTTCGCCGTTGCACTTGGTAAAACTCGAAACAAATCTCTCTCTCTCTCTCGAGCCGATGCCCGTTGAATGGGCACTTATTCCTTTTTGCTCCTTTTTGCCGGGTTTCATTCACTCGCGTTGACGTCTTTTGATGAACGCCGCCAAGCGTAACGGTCCCTTATCGCAGTACCGTACTTCAGAGGCGTACGGTAAATCCTCTGAGTCAACACACTCTCGGGAAAAGACCGCTCTTCAATGAATTCCAAAGTAATTATTATTTCACAATGCAAAATTTTTTCGCGATGCCAACGAGCAAAAGAAAAAAATTAAAAAAAAAGAGTGTTTCTCGATGGCACTTTTGGATGAAGGATCAACAAACTTCTGTAAACCCCGGAAAATCTGTGTATATTGTATACTGTATTGTATGTATATTATATAGACATGGATATAAATATACATACATATGTATGTGTATGCGTGCGTTGTGTGCATGAATAAGTGATACAGTATCACCTGGCGTGTTATGCGGGCTCGAATCAAAATTTTAGGAGCAGTTAGCAAAGGACTGCCTTGCTGCGTTTAAAAAGAAAAGTTCGCGAAGTGCTAAAACCGCTCACATTAGTTTCCTTTATATTTCAAATAAATGTGCGCGATTGACCAACGCTATTACTTCTCTATAAATTTAATTCACGAGTTAGCAGCGTTCATGTCGGCCGAGCTGATCCGGAACTCGGCGAAATCTGTTGCTCGCCTCGGGAGGCCGAGCCTCAATATTACGCGAGAAACAAATTTGCCCAGTTTCGGCCCGAGTCCCGGCCGCGTGCCTGTGTTTGGTGTCTGATGTTCTTTACCTTACGAGCCTTGCTTCGATACTCTTCGGCTTTGATCAGCTCGCCCCGGGCCTGGCCCACGTGGTCGCCGGTCTGATTCACGCAGTACTCAATGCTGTCCACCATCTCACCCTGCCGTACCGCACGTGGGAACGAAGGACGAAGGACTCGGGAGATCGGGATGGAAGCGGGGGTGGCGGAGGGAGATATCCAGGTGGGACCAGGTTCGCTCGTCGAGGGGAACAACCTCGGGGAACGGGTGCGCCCAGGGGTTACATTTATGTACATATAATCGGCGAGTATGAAGAGAAAGAGAAGCAGCATCCCCGCGGCAGGTGGGAGAATGCCAGATTCCCAGAGTGTTATTACGCGTGTGTACATATGCGCAGGCACGTACCACACGCCGTCGTGTTTTCACATCGACACACAGTCACACACGTATCCGTATATTAGTATCGACAGCATAGAGATTAATACGCAAGGTTAGTAGTATGAGTAATAGTAGTAAACAGAGCAGTTGATGGACAGAGGCACACAATTAGCACACCCATGTTTCGACAGAGTATACAGAGAGCAATGTACAGGTATAAGGGGGAGGAAAAAAAAGAGAGAGTAAGAGTATATAAACACGCACACATACAACAGTATATATGTATGTATCATATAAATATATACATTTATAAAATATCATTTACGATCGAGCGCGAATTGACACACGAATACCAACGAACGGCAGAGTAAAGTGAAACGCAAATAAACAGAAAGAAATCCACAAAGCGCCGTCGTTAATTGCTTACGCGTCGCAGAGGGACGGATAAGTGTGGGGGGAATGGTACACCGATTAATACAGATTGTAGCGAGTTATGTATCAACAGAAGCGTAATAATTAAACGGAAGCGGATAACGTAAGTAGAGCGGACTCAACGGAAAGGGGGACGAGGGGGAACGGGATGAAAATCAAAACGGGGATTCGAGAGACACCGAGTCGACAACGGGGTCGAGGGTAGGGAATGCGGGAACAATAGGGAGGGAAAAAAACACAAGAAGTGACCAATTAGACGCGAACGAAATAGCTTCGGCGCGATGATATCTGGGGAGGACTCACCCGTCGGGCTTTGCTTTGATACTTGAGTGCTTTTTTGGTGTCCTGCGTGGCCGTCTGCACGTAGTCCACCGCATGTTCCACGTGGTACTCTATGCGATCTATCATCTCGCCCTAATGTGGGTAGGAGGCGCGGCGCGAATCCACACAGCGTAACAGGGGAAGAGAGAGTGTTAGTTTTCAAGAGTAAGGCAAAGGCCAGTGATTAAACTGTTCGCCAATTTTTTTTCTTTTTCTTATTATCATGCATCAGCTCGCATCACCGGCATCGATAGCGAGAAAAGTAATTATCGCCAAGAATCGATGGCGTTTATAATTACGCCTGATTTATTTTAAAAAAATTACGAATAATGATTATAGGAAAAATCACAATAGTAACAAGTATCGTAAACTTTCTTGAAATGATAATTTCAGGGTTGTAATTTGTGACATTCTCAATTGATATCAGAAGCTGTTTTTCTTTATGTAAATAAAATTAATGATAATTGTAAATTATCGACGTAAGTTATATACTGCGGTAATTACTTTGTCTCATTGTATGAAAAAAAGATCTTTGAACTTGGACAAACTGTACCATGACAAGTAAAGCTTAATAATATTATTATTGTTATTATTATTAATTAATTAATTATTACTAGCATGCAGAGGAAGAAAGCGATGAACTAAAATCTCGAGTCTTTCGCGGAAAAGTTTCAAGTAGATATCGAAGAGAAGATCACGAACAGTCAATTAAGAACAGAATGGATACGTATCATAAATAATTAAATTTCCAGGAAATCCGGGAAAACTTGAGATTTTAGTACGTTGAAGAAATTTCCCTTGAAACAGCAGATAGTAAACGCGTCACATAATGCGGCTCGAAACTAAAGCGGCTAAGAAACATTACTGAAGAGAAGAGGATTGTTACACTGCGTCGCGCTACGCTCCTAATTGCTTATAAATCATTGTCGTACTGAAGTAATCGCGAGCAACTAATATAAGATATACAGTAATGGAAACTAAAAATAATATAATTGAGACGAAAATACTCTTCAAATTATAATGTCAATTAAATTCGGGAAAACAAACTACTTGCAAGTGTAGCCTGTTGTACGATCAATCGCGAGGAACGATGCCGCTCAAGCATCTCGCAATAAAGCATCTCATTTGTTAATTAAATCGATAGTTTGGGTTGAAAAATAAATTGAAACGTGCATCTGACAGAGCAATCGAAAAAGTTTTCCTTTTTTTGCTTGAGAACAAAATTCAAAATCACGTAAAACAAATTTTCTGAAATAAATAAAACGCGGTAAATAAAAAACAAACATTTTATTTGTTTAATAGATTTAAAGCAAACCAAAGTTTCACATTAAATGCGTTATTGTTGAAAATATTGTCGACAATATTTTGATCTTTATTTTATCACAAAGAGATTCAAGTTTTTAATCGAAACTCAGAGGGCCTTCCTCTCAAATCTATTCTAAAATTATTTTAATTAAACTGAATTCCTTCTCTTTATTAACCCTCGCAAGCCACACTTATTTTTTGCATCGTGTAAGCCACAATGGGGTCTGAAGGACCCCAGCCATTTTTCGTTCATAAGTTCCGAAAAAATCAACGTATTGTAATATTGTTTTTTTTTTTTTTTTTTACCAATTAATCGTAAATTTTCTGAGAATTATGATGGTAATTTCAGAATTTGTCAAAAAAATTATTACCAAAAATACGCATTAAAAATATAAATGATAGTTACAAGCGTATTTCCAAAATTTCATTGGGGTCCCTGAGACCCCAGTGTGACTTTCGAGGGTTAATTTTTCCTCAAATGCACGTATCAATGAACTTATTATCTACTGCCAGATTATTTTAAAAAGGCATATCTATTAACTGCTTTGCGAATTACTGGAAAATTCATGTTTGCAAAAATGATTGTAATCATATTTTTCAGAATTTGATCCGACTCTACTAACAATGTACGTTTAATTACTATTACATTTAGGCTTTTAGCATCTGTATATGCAATTCTGTAATAGCACATCAATATTCATGACGAATATATCTGCTGTATTATACGCACGCGATTTGTGATACATGAACATATGCAATTTGCATGTAAGTTATGTATCTTGCGGCAGAATATTGTTCTTCCATATGTATCAAAAATCAAGATAAAAAGCTGTTATCTCAAAATAATAATAAAAAAAATATATAAAATTTTTTGCATGCAATATCGATCTCGTTACATCTCGTGGAGATGTAAACCTCTTATGCCAGGGGGAAAAAAAAAACATAAAAATGGTGTAATTATCATTTGTTTAAACGGGTAAAGTTTCCGCAATAAATTTGCATGAAGCTGCTCGACCTTACCTGGCTCTCCACCAACATGGCCATGTCCATGAACATATCGTGCAGCTCCCTGATGGAGTTTTCAAGTTTAATGATGTCAGCGTGACGCGCCTCGATGTCCGCAAGAGTCTGTTTTGCTTGTTGCGTTTCCATGATGATCTGCGACAAGGGGTAAGATTAATCGGGGTAGGAAAGGCGGTTATTAATGCTTCTCATGTAGCTATTAGGCGAGAAAAGGAGACAAGGATCATTAAAGATGTACCCCTTGCGTGAAGACGGCTGGATTTCCTTGCTCCAGCATCTCCTCGAGTTCCTCGTTGGTGGTCGTTCTCCCCGCTGAAAAGAAACAGAGAGATTTCTTCGTCTCGCAAACAGACGCGACTCAAATGCGGATGCAATCAATTTTCCGTTCAAAGCCGTTTCCGCTATTATTTATTCAACGAACGAAGCGATTTGCATGGATCATAAATATCGATATTATACAAATACTTGATCCCATTGTCATAATTACTATTTACATTGTAAGCTTATTGCACCTCATCCTGGTTATCGCGTTTGCATTATAGTATTAAAAAAATTATAAATATAATAAGCTAAGAAAACTCGCGATGTAATAATAGTAAGAAAATTCAATTAGAGTTGTTTGAAAGAAAACTGTTGTTGACAACAATCGTTCAGTGTCCTCCTCCGGGCTTTTCTTCGAATAGAGACGAACACGAGCATCAGATTGATGAGCGCGGATATTCCGAGACGGATTCGATATGACGCCAGATTGGACAGGGTTGTTCCGCTCGAACAGGCATTCAGGTTGCAATGCGGCCAATCACGACATCCATATACTCACTGATCTCGAGCTGTCGTTGTATTCTCCCCTTACACCGCTCCCTGTAATCGGTCTGTGTCCGATTGTACTCCGTCATCACCTCAACGAACTTCCTGGACAACGTCGAGTGCTGGGTTTTGCGTATCCTCAGATCCGCTGACGATTTGTTCGTGTGCTCCTCCTGCTCGATGTTCTGCTCTATCACTAAAACACACAGGAAACAAGGCTCGGCTGTCGTAATGCGAAACGTATTCTCCGACGATCGCAGAGGGATCGATCAATTTATAATACATGTCACCCACGTCACGATCATCCGAACTGCAAGAGCTTACCCTTTAATTTAGCCCTCACTTTGTTAGCGGTTTTCTTGATGTCAGACATCAGGTCTTCCAGTTCCAGTTTCACCTCTGAAATCAAGAAATCAAAAAGTTATTTACGTGCCATGGGTCTCGAGTTCAGAGATCCATTATTTTCTAATATGCCAAAGAAGATAGAAGTTTTATTTAGTATCTGGAAGACACAGGTCGCAAATGTCATCTCCAAGATTTGTAGGATAGTCGACTCAAAACTGTGTTACAACGCATTCTTTATTGAACAAATAACTTTTAGACAATAATATAAAATTTATATGTAAGTACATGTAATTCAAGATAATATAAAGTATATATTAATTTATTTAAATATAAATTAGCTAGTATCGATTACGAAAGCTCAATCATATCGTCAATGAAATGTTATACACTTTTTAAAAATCCAGCTCACCAAATCACGCTTATAACATTATTGCTTCAAATGTTACAGTTCTAGCAAGATCGTACATTCGTAAAGCAGCATTGTGCAACATTATATTGATCGAGGAACGGTCCGTGCACAGCTTGTCATAATCACCACTACACGCGCAAACTTTCGAATTCCCACAAGACTGTGCCAGTCGCGGTTATCTGTCGTCTTTCGCAGTAAATTTACAATCCGATCTGCTTCTCTGTCTCCGCGGCGATTCTTATTTCATCCATATACCTAGCCTCTCTGTAATCTTTTCCTGCTTTCGATACTATTAGCGATGAGATGAAGTCCAATATGTACTCAAAAATCAGAGTCAAATCCAATAATCAACTTTCATTTTTTAAGATTCGAGTAATATTCATAAAAAATAATATTTTGTACATTATACTTGTGAAGTAATCGATCCTGATTAGTTAGTTTTGAATTTTAGAATAAATAGGAAAAACCGGGACTGGGGTAGGCCAGTTTTTCAGTTTTTGATTTTTAATAAAATACATAAAAGAAATATCATTGTCACGTTACCATGCTTATATTATGGTAAGACGTATATTTGGTTATTAAATTAAATTTCTAAAGTTAACTTAATTTGATAATAATTAATATAATTGAATATTTTCCTTATACCCCTCTTCCACGCTGGTCAACCCACCCCATGGTCGGGGTTGGTTGACTAACAGTATGGGGAAAGTTGATTATAGATGTAATTAGTCGAAAAAATGTTATTTGCAGCTTAACCCAGCGGTAACAAAATAGCCCAGTAGAAAAGCTGTCTTCTTATAAACTATTAATTATTTTTTATGATATAAGTTATATTTTAAAATTAAAGGTGAATAAACTAAACAAATTCTTTAACAAATAAAAGATAAATTTGCGTTTATAATAAAAAAATAATCTTTTTAAAAATATATAGTAATATATTATATTTAAATATTTATGGATCTAAAATTGGTTCCAATTACTTGTCTAATAAAGTAAACACCGAGGTAAACACTAAAATGTGTGCTACGACATTCTTTTGTATAGCTACATAAAGTGTAAAAACAAAAAATCTCTGAGAAAAATATTTACTTTTGTAGTCCAATTTTTCAATAAACACCTGTCATTCTGTAACAACATATGACCGTGACGCCACGTCTAACACAATTGAAGGGAGAGGAATGTTTATTTCTACAATAAATTTTGGTGCGATCGGCCGCACATTCGTGTAAAAGTTGCAAAGTTATTAACGGTTAGTCTATCTGCCTCTATGGTCCATCAAAACCCGGTCTCCCCTGTCTGTAGAATTCGAAATAAACTTATATAAGTATATTCGAATATACTTATAAATAGTTTCTCTATCGTAAAGAAATCGAATCTTTCACAAGTAGTACTCGAACTCTGAGAAGTTGTTAGTTTAAAGAATGTATAAATGTGTAAAGGTTTTAAGTAACTTTTATTTTGTATTTTTATTCGTATTTTTATCAAATTCAATTTCAACGACTGATAATTTAATTATGTCATTAGACTCGTGAAAATGTCAACAAATTAATAGACGGCGATACGAGTCAAGCGCGGTATGTGATGCGCAAGTAAAGAAATTAATAGTTACAGAAGTAACGAATTACAATGTATACTGTGTTTCAAGTCTGACAAATAATTGGCGCGTAGTTTATTAAGTTGGAATATACGTATATGTATATTATATACATTGTAATTCGTTACTTCTGTAACTATTAATTTCTTTACTTGCGCACCACGTACCGCGCTTGACTCGTATCGCCGTCTATTAATTTGTTGATAATTTAATATTTATAATTATCAATAAATAATATATTAAAATAACTGTCACTTTATACAAACGTTTTGATTCAAAGGATAAAATTTCTAGTAAAGTACTCACAAAAGATATACACATATTTGAACCATATTAGAGTCCACTTGGAAGTACCTAAAGTTCTTGTCTTTCGAAATATTCATAAAAGGTTTGAACCGGTTCAAATCCATTTTAATTTTAAAATATAACTTATATTATAAAAACGTTTTGATTCAAATGGTAAAATTTCTAGTAAAGTACTCACAAAAAATACACACATATTTGAACCAGATTAGAGTCCACTTGGAAGTATCTAATGCTCTTATCTTTCGAAATATGAACTCATAAAAGATTCGAACCGGTTCGAATCCATTTCGTTCAGATTCGAGTCTATTTGAAAGTACAACTTTCATTTTTCGAAATAATCATAAAGGGGGGTTTAAAATTACGCCAACGGATTCAAATTTACTTGTAAGGTACTTCATCCCATCGCTACTCCTACCCTCGAAGTTATTGCGTCATCAAATTACAATTTGCGACTTATTCCGACTATATTTTGCATTCGAGGCCAGTGATTTATACTCACAGCACCGAAATAATTGCGAGGCACCTTTAACGAACCGTGCAAATACCATGGAACTCGATTACGTTGAATCAATGTACCTATTGCACACGATGCGACTAATACATTTATTATTTCATTCGCTCAAGTCCACGTTTAAAAATAATTATGAGAAGATTGTTTCAAAATGAATATTTGTTTTCGTTTACAAAAAGATTTTTTTAGTTCGGAGCTTGTATATCTCTTTTTAATGCAGCCTTCGTAATTTTCGTAGACACAATTCTCGATTGTGTCTATAAAACTCGTAACCAATTAGCGTGCCGGCTGATCCCGACACGGATCTCCAATCTAATTATAGGCAAGTGTAGAAGAGAGGTCATGATCCTTCTCGTAATATCAGGTTTCAATATTCCGTGAAGACGTCCCACGCATATACGCGTTAAACCGTGTCCCACGCAACTAATCTCGCCTACGTCTCGAACGAGTCTGAGCGATCTCTGTTAAAACCACCCTCCCTTTCGATAGGCGGGCATTATGAACATACATACGCTTTCGTATCTTCCGTATAAGACGAGATGTATTTTACGCTTTATGAAGATAATGAGGAAGAGAGAGAGAAGGTCAGAGAGAATCCCCTCCTTCGAGATCGACTATTTCTTAACCCTTCGCCCGTAAACTGGGTCATAAATGGCACAAGCCGAAATTCAAGATAGAATACCGCCGAAATGAAAAGGGGGGGGGGCTTGCCGTCCCTCGTAAAAAAAGTAGGTAGTGGGGAGAACTCATGCCCAAAGTTTCGTTGGAATTCGCCAGTGTGTGCTTGACCAGCAGCGAGTCAAAGTGCGTCCAGTGCCACTATTGACCCAGTTTACGGACAGTGCCAGACTTTCGTGCAAGTAAGTAAAATTAATTTAACGTCATTTTCATATTACTACAGTTATTTTTAACTTATATAAGTGATATTTTTTTATGATTGTGTATATTATATATACCTATAACCTCAAAATTTGAGTGGATGAAAACACGTGTAAAAAGAAATTACATGTACTTTCAGGGTACAATGGATGATCAAGCGACAAATATCAGATATTATTTACGAGAAAGACAATTTTATATGATTTTTTAATAAAATAATGTAAAAATTACGTTAAAAGTCTTATTTCTCCTTAACCCGAAAAAGGCCATTTTCAATCCTCAGAATAATTATACTTTTTAAAAATGACCCATATACAGAATTTTTTTCTTGAAAGTACACATATTTAACTATAAAACCTCGTTGGAATTTTTTATTTTGATTTAAAACTCAATGAGATATGATTTTTTTAATAAAAATGGATTTTTATCAATTTTTTGCATAAAGAATTATTTATAAACAATTTATCTTATAATGAATCGCTAAATAAACTTTGGGACTATAAAATAGGATAGTATACAAGTATTACAGAATTTTTTCAGATTTTTTGAACACTATTTACTAGGTCAAAATAACGACAGGACATTTATGACCCAGATTACGGACGATGCCAGTCAAATTATAGTTTACGGGCGAAGGGTTAAATATCGAGCTATTCGAAATGAGTGAGATTGCGCACAACGGAAGAAGATTAATTATAGAAACTTCTTTCGGTGAAAGAAATAGCGCAATGTTTGAATATACTGCACGTGACGCTATACTATTCGAATCGCAAATAATTTTTAAACGGAGATCCCTCAACGTAGAACGTGAGGTTTGCATTATATCTACCTACGTGTCACGCCACATATTTCCCGACTACGTCGGAGCCACCGAGTCTGCCAAGACACCCTCGAGCACCTCAAATCCAGTTGCCATGAGATTTAGCGTGGCCGCCGTCGGAACGACGCTGCTGCGTCTCCCTTGGGAACTCCCAAAAATGCTGAGCAATAAGACGTTTCCCCGAAATACGTTCATCTTTATTGTTCGCGTGAACAATATGAGTGGCGTAACCACAATTTAAAGCATTTTTAGCAAATATCTTTATACGACGTGTAAAAGCAATGAAATCAAAGAATATATGGATATATCGTCATATAAGTGTAAAATAATTTATATAAAAAATTTACAATATTACACTTCTTTATAGTAAAAATATATGTATATTAAATTATGTATACGTTAAAAGTGTCTTTATTATATAATAGTTATATAATTATAATTAATGCTAATCTCTCTTTCGCGAGTGAGGTCACTTTTAGACGCCGTCATAAAAGAATTAAGGCTTAGGTGCAGTTTAATGAAAAGCGCTATATTAATTTGCATTTAGGCAGTAAACAATTTTTAACCAAAATCTGTTGTGACAGGGGCTCTTGGAAAATTGATTAAAATTTAGCTGGTTAACTTACAACTAACCCCGTAATTCGCTGTTACCTCACGTGCAACGCGTTGAATATTCCCCGAGGAAGTTTCGGCGAAATTTCTTGGCTTTGCTTAAAATGCAAATTCGCCTTGAGTGTGTTCTTTGCGCTTCTATCGGTCACATCTATCGCATCTATTTTCACTAACACCATCGCAGCGGCGAGCCTGAGCGGGCCGCAGCTGAAGATCGAAGAAGACTGAATAAGAATGAAGGTGCTTGAAAAATTCCATCTTCACGCGCACCTTTCCAGTCACGATCGGACACTTAGTCGCCGCGCGATTTAACGGCTGTTATCAGACGCGTGCAAAGGGCATCTTTATTGCATCAGATAAGACGGCGCAAAAGGAAGAAACGAAAAGATATAGGGGTTGTTTAGTTTGATTGATGATGTATAAAGAAGACAAGGGAACAGTTCCGCTCGCCATCGCGCCCTATGGTTGTTTGGTCTGTACTTTTATGGGAAATTGATTTTTTCTTAAATATATCGTTCGCCCTAAATGATTCCAAAATTGTCATTTCTAATCAAAATGTAATACTTATAAGATGATTTTAATTAACAATGCAAGCTGCAATTACTCTAAAATTTAATTAGCATAATTGATTACTTTAATAAATATAATTTAACAATTTTTCAATGTATGGCCTTGCAACAATATTTAATATAAATTATTTAATTAACTCAAATATCCTTTTTATGTGCTTCCCCAATTTTTTATTGATTTTTTATTTTAATCAAATAATAAGAAGATAACTACTTGCGGGAAAAATTACTTCCTGAAAGAAATACTGAATTCTGATTTTGCGCCAATAATCACGCCAATTTTCGCTCAAGATTGGAAGCTAAGATAAAACAAAATTTTCTTGCTGCGGTACCCAGGTATATGCGGAAGAAAGCAACAATCAGGGTCGTTTACATAGGCGCTAGCGTAAAGTTCGACTATGGGAGAGAGCTACCAAGTTTAACCGCATCCGAATGCAACGACCTGGAATACGTGAACTCGTCCTTGTGGTTGAAGTAATGCTCATAACGAATTTACAACGTACAGCTCCGGCTGTAATAAAGGCCGCCTGAATTTCCGGTCGAGCTTCACAATGTGATTCAATACCGAAACGTACCTCTTTGTTTAGTATCTTGGCTCTCGGCCAAGTTGTTCAACACAAAGTTAATTTTTATAAATGAAAAAAATATCAATTAAATAATTCCAACATTACGATAAGAATAATAATATGATATCTTTTTTAATTATATAATTAGTGTAACTGTTTTTTTTTTACAATTTCATTATGTGTGTTATAAATATAATATTATTAGCATCAAACATAGATAATAAAAATATTTTGACAACTTACAGTGATTATTACGTTTACATTACTGACAAATATTTTAATATTGCTGTATAACAGAATATGGTAGAAGAAACTTGAAGCACAGTCCGGAGTTAAACGTATAAGACTATCATAACATTTGAAATAAATGGCTCTCGCAATAAAACGCAAAGGATATTTATCTGTAATTATCTGTTTTTGTGAACTGTGACTCTAATATCTTGACGTATACCGAGCTAATATGTTTTTAAATCCTTCCTTTCTTGTTGTCGCGAGCGCAACTTTTTCCAATTTTCTCTTCCGCCAAACGGCCACTCGTAACAACTTTTCTTTCTTTAATCTGCAATATCGAGCTCTCTTCCTCGGCCTTGACAACAATGTTTTCGTGCAAAAGAACTTCTCGCCAGGATGTTTCCATCGATATGATAAAGAGGAGCGCAGTGGTAATGTCCGTGAATAGACGCGCGCCCCCGAATGAATGCTCTGCGGCATTATACGTATATTGTACTATATATACTGAACCGCGGCCAGTGTGTTTGTAATTCGACGGCCAAGATATATATATATATATATATATAGCTTAACATTCCCCTATGTTAACGCCCACAAAAGCGTCTTTCGAGCGTTTTTTCCAACCCCATAAATCGAGAGAGCTCGCAGCTCTTCGGGTATAAAACCTTTCTGTCGGCGAGTCTTTTTCATCGCGAACTTCGGCAGATTCTATTCGCGCAAAACTTTTTACTTATAGCACTAAAAATAACTAAATTATTCATAATAATTATAGAATCCATAGATTAAAAGTTCAAGCGTTAAATAAAATTTTGGTTATTACAAATATTATAAACAACGCTAAGTGCTTCCAAACAACAATTTGCAAAACATAAATTCATGAATCTGATACGCAGTAAATTTATATACAATAATATTGATAAACACGCACGGAAAAAAAGAAGTTGTAAAATAGGGACAACTAACATATTTTGTTGCGAGAGCTATATTTTTAGCAATAGTAGCACAACGTTTTGTTACTATTGCTAAAAATATAGCTACACGGAAAAAAAATTAGCTACCGTAGCAAATCTAGTCGTAAAATATAGATAACTAACATTTTTTTACTGCGAGAGCTATATTTTTAGCAATAGTAACAAAACGTTGTGCTACTATTGCTAAAAATATAGCTCTCGCAACAAAATATGTTAGTTGTCCCTATTTTACAACTTCTTTTTTTTCCGTGCGATATGTGTAAATACGCGCACGCACATACACGCATGTACATAAAAGATTAAGAATAATGTGAGATTCAGCTACGGATACCATTTTTGATAAGCATAACTTAATTTTATATTTATCTTGAAAGTTGATCGCGGAAACCGACCGACCGATATGCGTCGCGTGCGATTCCGCCCGCGTTTGGTTTAACAGGTTTGGCTTAAGGGGCTCTATACAGTCTATACGTATATATGGAGAGGATAATCCGACCTATCTCGGCTTTTTCCCTCCTTCGTTTCAGCTCACGCCAAGATTCTATTCTCTTGCACGTGCCACGGCACGAAACTAGTTTCCCCCGTCGGCGATCGCAGTCGCGATAATTTCAACGGTTCCGAAAATCACTTGCTGGAAAGTTTTTCTCTTGCCGTGGCCGATGGCAGGCAGATACGGAAGATTATAGAAATGAAGAAATTCCGGAGGAGGACAGGGGGAGAACGTAAATATAGTAAAAAGATGTATGGGAGAGTTTGGCCGCCGGCCAAGTAAATTATGCGAGAGAAAGAGATGTCGTTACCCTTTTATCGTGCTACGACACTGTGATAAGGGATAAAATTTTGAAGTGTAAAGTAGCGGGAAAGCACGTATTTGAGGTGTAATAAAATTGCGACCTTGCTGTGATATTAGACGCTTTAACACGCGGTTATGTTTAAATACGCGCATATACACGGCGCGCGCGCACGTGTATAAAATAAATAAAAAAATTAGAATCTATAATATATAATCTAATAATAAAACAAAACGCTTATTTGATTTTTCCGTCAAATGTCGCATAGTTGAAATGTTTATCTTCGCAATGACATTATTGAGAGACATTCTTAAGCCCATATTCTTAAAAAGTAAATCTAATTGTAAGATGCGATTTAAAAATTTCTTCAATTATTTATGTGACGCTACAAAAACAATTAGAACAAAATTTAACGTATAAACTGAAACTTGAAGTGCAAGAAGTTATGTGTTCGTTTCGTAATTGTCGCGAATCGCACTTGCTAAAGTAGGCCGAATCTCTCGTTAAGTTTTAATTAGCGCGCGCGATTCGTTGGGAAAGAGAAATGTCAGTTCGCAATCTCGTTCGGTATACGCTTCTTTCGCGAGAGGATCTTCGTATGCAAATCTGTCGTGTATAATTTAGACGTCGGGGACGTCGCGAGCAGGATGGAACACCATCGCGAGCACGGCGCAGGCGGAGCAATTAGCAATTAGGAAACTCCCTTTAATTGCCCTCGACGATCCCCCGGACTCCGTGGATCTTCTAAGAACGAAAAATGGCGTCTACCCGCCGTCCCCGAGAGAAATTTCTCGAGCGGAAGGATACAAGCGATTAATGTCATTCAGTATATTTAAAGGTATCGGTTATCCCTTCGCGACTCACCCCGATTTCGCCTTCGAATCGACTTCGCGACGGTCGAACTACCTCATTGATTCTACCAAAGAACCGAATTAACTTCGCTCACGCGACTTAATCAAGAAACCCCAACCAGTGGGAATTTTTCTTTTCTTTCTTTCTTCCTTTCTATATCCTCGTTATATAGGATTATCGCGAGTATATGTGTGAATAGCGCTCGCGAAAGGAACGGAACGGATATAGACTGCCGCGAGAAAACCGCGAGTCGGATGAGAGGGAAAAATTTAATTTAATTAAAGAACGAACCCGCGAAGACGTCGAACGATTAATATTCCACTTCTTTCCCGACGCGTGTTTAATTCACGATGTCGTTAACGAGTTATTTAACATTCAAGAGAGTTTACCTTGAGTTTTTAATTAAGCTCTGAAAACGTAAACCCGCCTCGAGATGTTGTTATTTCTCGCATAACGCCAAGTGGACTTTATGCTAATGCCGTTTTCGAGTGAATGCTCGAGATTCGCCCTAGAATTGCTCCGTGATCGCTCTTGGGTCAAATCATGCTCTAAATCATGTTCGAGTGCAATGCGATCGCACGTTGACGTCATCAGACGCCATCTAGAGTTATTCCGTGGTTATTCTGTTGATAAAGACGTCCATTGTTCTGTGCATTAATAAATAGTAGAAAAATTAAAAAATCAGAAATGGCTCTAAATTCAGAAGAAATAAAATTCCGAGGAATGGTGCTTGATGAAAATGATCAAATAATCGAAACTTCCGAAGGTATCCTATGTGAAGTTGCGATTGGACCAGGTAAGAACATTAACTTATCAGAATACTTTGTTTTTTTTTTGTGTTGTCCTTTATTATTAATCCGTTTTTATATGTGATTATTTTGTGTTTGGGTTATAATTGAAAACGTTAAAAAAAATATCTGCTTTTTTTAATAGCTGAAGAATATAAATTGGCGTATTTAACAAGGGAGACTTTAGGCATGGAGGAAACATCAGATAACCTCGAAGGTCAGTTCATACACTACACGCATATTAAAAAAATCTGTTTGTTAAATTACAATGAAAGTGTTATTGATTACGTTTTATATTTTTTTAGATAAAGAAAATCTTGAGGATTTTAATACAGCTGGTACTTCTGGAAAGGGTGATGATCTTATTACAAACAGGGTTAGTCCTGCGATTCCTTCTTCTTCTGCAGTCATACTTCCAGGAACAAGTAACAAAGCCACTGCTTCAATAAAATGGACTGATAGTCAGACGAAGAAAATGCTTGCTCTATACAACGAGAACGTGGTGAAAGTTGGACCAATGAAAAAATTCAGAAACAAAAAATTGATGTGGGAATGTATTGCTACGGATATATCAAACGAGTTTAAAATTTACGTAAGCGGAATTCAATGCGAATCTCGTTTCAAAAATGTCTTAAAACGTAAGACTGGTGCTGTAAAGCATAATAAACAATCAGGTAATGATCCCGTGGAAGTTCCATACCAAGACGAGATTGATGAAATTAAAAGTATGGATGATAGTATTAAACCTGAAGTTCTTGTGAGTCCTGGTAGCATTAAAGTTTTGAAAAACAACTCTCAAAAGTGTCTAGCAGAACAATCTCGTCAGGATAACAAGAAAAAGAAAACAGAAGATCCACTTATTACTGCATTTCGTGAATCGCAGGAAAGGAGGGAAGCCAACAGGCAACGTAGGCATGAAGAAAAACTTGCATTGTTGCGAGAATTCCTGAGTAAGAAGGAGTAAACTTGAGGAGTCAACTTTTAGTTATAACATTTCATATTATAATATATATTATAGTATATTATCTCGTTATTATAACTTAGAGTTTTTCTAATATCTATTTATCTACATAATAAGGATAACGTAAACTTGTCAAATTTTTTATGAAAATTTTTGAATTGTTATACAAACTTGAAATTTCTTTTCTAGAGTTTCATCAAAATATCATTAATTAAATATCACAGGATACATTTTTTCAAATGTTCAAAATTCACAAAGCTATAAAATATCCATATACCAAAAACTGTGATATTTTTTTTTGATATTTTGATGCTGTATAAAGGAAGCGTGGCACTAGAAAATGATCGCACTGGAAGCAATTGTACTTAAAACTTAAAGACTAATTGAAAGACTAATTATTTTTCAGTGCCATGTCGGATTTATATTGTGATATTTTGTGCTGTGATGTTTTTAATGTATCCTGTGATATTTTTTTAAAATATTTCGACTCTTAACCTTTAATTTATTTTTTGAAGTTTTTATAACTAAAATTTGCTATTTTATGGTAAAATAATACTTGATAAAGACCATATATAAGTTTCTATAAGTTTTTGCAAATAATTTTATTGCTATGTCCAATTAAACTATTATGAAGGAAGAAACAAATTAAAAGTTGTATTTGTTAAATTTGAATAAGATGAAGAAATCATCATAAATAAAAAAGTGTAAAGAGATTTTTTTAAATAAATGTTTTTAATTGGTCCATATATTCAATCGTTATATATTCTTTACAATTCACAATACATTTTCTTTTACAATGTCAATATTAATTATGTCATCATTTTGTGTTAAGTTTAGTAGTAGAGATTGAGTCAATTTTTATACAAATTGTCTAGCCAATTCATCACGTTTCAGCTGACCAAGTCTAGCATTGTCGTCATGATTTACAAAATTTTCTTGGTCGTTTCTTGCATTATTTTCTAACTCATTTAGAAAATCATTCCGTTCAATGCATAAATTGTGCATCACGCAACATGAAATTATAAATTTTGATGTTTTCAAAACACGCCACATATCCGTCCGTATCAACTGCCTCCACCTTTGTTTCAGGAACCCGAAAGCATTTTCAATTTTAACTCTTGTACGACAAAGTCGGTAGTTAAATTCTCGTTGTTCTTCTGTCAAATCTCTATACTCTCGATATGGCGTCATGACGTTTTCATTTATTGGATATGCGGCATCTCCCAGTATATGAAAGTCTCGTCCCATCTGCAGCACTTTAGGCCGAATAAATGATAATGAAAATGTTTTTGCATCGTGGATCTTGCCCGGTACTCCGGTGAAGACATCCAAAAACTTTTGGTTCGCATCACATATTGCTTGCAAAGTTAATGAAGTGATATCGTGACGATTGACATAAGTTGATTTAATTTTATGGATAGGTGTACGAATGTTGATGAATGTTCCATCAATGCATCCAACTACTCCTGGAAACCCTGCAATCTTTTCGAACAAGAAATTAATCAAAAAAACAGTTATTTTAATTGTAAAATAAAAAAATTAAATTTAAGCAAAAATTTGAAAAAAAAATTACCTGCTCGAATTCTTCTGCATTTTGTTGTTTTTCTTCCTCAGTACTTGGAAATTTTATTACTGATGGGCCCAATTCGTCAGTTAAAAAATTTATTACACTATCTATCATCTTGTGTGCTGTCGATATACTAATTCCAAAAATATGAGCTACGGTCCGGTAAACTGCTTTGTTACCTGCAAACCTATAGAACAAAATAATTGTTCAATTGTTAACAAATAAAACAAAAATTGAGCAGTGCCCTGGTGGATTTGTTTACACTGGAAGTACGTCAAAACACATAGTTTACGCACTCAACTTCAAATATTTATATTTAGTACAGTAGGTGTAAATGAACATTGGAGACTCCTGAAAACAAGGATAAATAAACAAAAATATATTTTCCATAAATTGACAAACAATTCCTATTAATTGTATCAAAAACTTAAGAAGCAAGTTATTTACATATTTAACTAAATATATTATATACTAAAAATATTTTAAATAAAATTTAAGTCGTTAATTTATGGAATCAATTATTCCATAATTTCTGTTACTTTATTCTTTTCTTCTGGTGCTAAAAATCTTCATTTTTAACTACTCAGACCTTAATAAAAATATTTTTAGGTGAGTGTCAACAGAGTGTGAAGTAGGCACATTATCGGATGGAGCTTTCTAGCAAGCGATACAAGTCGACACAAGTATTGTTTTATCTTTTACTCATTGCCAAAAAAGAAAGATAAAACGATGCTTATGTCGACTTGTGTATTTGTGTCGCTTGCTGGAAAGCTCCCTATATTGACGTATTCCACGTGAACTCGATATATATGTCGAGGTAAAACAATCAGCCAGGGTAGCAGAAGGCCTAGTGTTACCCAAGCATTATAAACACATTGAATTTATTTTACCAATATCTTATCTATTAATTCTTACCATAAATAACACAGAATGTGTTCTTCGGCACTTTTCGCTTCAACACCGCCAAAAGGTGCTCCTCGGGGACAATATACACTTTGTTCAAACAATTCAATTAAATAATTACATGTTTCACGAGATACTCGGAAATCACTTTTAAACTGTAAGAATAAATTAATATTATTGATATTATTCCTAAATTTGTAATTGTTATATTAAAGTAGCATAAACATATACGTACTTCTGGCTCTGAATACTTGTCAACTACATCGCGAATAAAATTTTCAACTTTGGGAACTTCACCCCATCGGCGTCTTCTGGCATTATTCCTCAATAATTGTACATCAATAATATCATCGTCATCATCAGAACTGTCTGATGACAACAAATCCTGCATAATTTCGATTACACGTAATCCACGTAATTGATCAATCGGTGCCGCCATTTGTTTTGACTGCTCTGCGTTGCCCTGCTCCCCGGAGTCAGAGCAGGTTAGAACAGAACTCGAGCGTTTTTTTCGACGGCGCGAACTCGTTAATGTAGCGTTCCGTCGATAAAGTCGAAAAACAGCTAACAGACCATTTTAAATGAAAAATCACAAATTTTGTTACGTTTATGGTTTTATACTAGAGTAAAGATAAATCTTTTATATTAAAAATTGTTAATGGATAAAAGGAGTTAATTCTATGGTCATATGAGTTCGTAAAACATGTATTTTTGTAATTTTTCAGCAATTAATATGCTTTTTTATTCAAACAGAGTAGATCCAAAATCTGTTTGAGAGTTGCCCGTGATTGCCACTCGAACATATGATTTGCTCTCAGAGCAATCTGAGAGCATTCACTCGAAAACGGCATAAGAAAAATTTCATTTGAAACTTAATTGGCGGTACTCGTAACATCGAGGTTGAAAAACTACGGTTTAAAGCGAATGTTGTACGCACAGATGTGTGCACAACTCGCAATTTTCCTTCAAGATTTGTACACACACACACACACACACACACACATTCCCTTCGTAATTCACAATATTCCCTCGCTGAGTTTTTCTCATCGACAAGCGTACGTCTTGAGGCAATCGGCGGCTTTGCAATTTTACAGTCCCGAGTCACACGCAATTACGACCCGCAAACTCGTTTACCTTTAAAGCCAATTCCACAAAACGCCAAAGTGAAAACGCATAAAACATGCGCGACGTAAAAGCGAAACGAGTTTGTTTTTCTCTCGATTTAGCGGATCCCTTCGTGGCTTCCGCCGCGGGCGGAAGCTTAAAATACCGGGTGACAGGAAGTATTAATACTCGCGCGCGACGGATACAACTTTTTTGCGGGCAACGGTAGTTTGTGACGGGTCAGCGGCCGTATCGATACGTTAAGTGTCAATCGTTTGTCCGGCAACACCTCGATGGGATCGGCGTTTTTCAGCGCTAACGTCCAAACGTTTGATCGTCGGTCATCGGTCGTAAATGCATTATGTATCAATTAGCGCGTATTACGCGCGGAACGCAGGTAATAAAGCCCACGTCGCGTATTATTAGCGGACTCAAAGCAAAGTGGCCGAAATTGCGGGCATTAAATAACGGCGATTAACATTTCCTTTGGCCTTTATCCCGCCGCGCCGCCGCGCCGCCGCGCCGGGATAAAAGCAATATGATCAAAATCGCTTTCCGCAGAAATGCGGCAAATATTCCGCCCCGTTCGCGTAACCGCTTCGCTATTGTTGTCAACGAGTAATTTTGCAAATCAAAGTACCCTCCGCATAGCCCGGTTACATCACATGGGAGCCGGACTACATCACATTCCACAGCGGGAGGTAATAAAATTATATAGGAGTTATAAATTGAAATGCAAAACGACATGAGTGGTTAGTTACTTTTGGAACGGGTATGTTTAAATAAGCCGGAAAAAGTCCAAAATATAATTGTGTATAATTGTATGAAAACTTTTTCGCGCATCATAAAATAAAATATGAAAATATGAAAGATATCAAATTATGAAAAAAAACTCCCGTAATAGTGCCATTTTTAATCTACAATCTACGAATAAAATAGCTTCATTTTATTATTTTACAGATTAAATCAAAACTTCGTTCGCTGCATCAAAACGGTTATAACGTCATTTCTGCTTTGTAAAAGCGGATCTTTTAACAAATCTTCAAGAGTATGCTTGGCTACTTTGCTTACAAGCCGATCTCCGGCGCAAGATATCGAAATTCCGATTAAATTCAGTCGAGTACGAGAGAACGTTTTCTTTTTCTCTTCCATGCTCATCCTGGAGGAAACCGGAAGCCGCGGGAAAATGGAGAAAACGAAATAGATAAGAGAAAAGGAAAAAAGGACGGAGAATGAGAGAGAAAGAGAGAGGGAAGTCAGGAAGAAAAAAGAGAGAGAGAGAGAGACGAGTGAGACTATTCCCAGAGAAACTCGAGGTATTTCGCGACACTTTCAGGTGCCTCGGACCTCTTCCTGGATGGGTATCTCGACGTGTTATCGACTTCGGCTGACCTCGCCATTCCTGACCTCGACGATATCGCGATCTGTCTTGCCCTCGTTCCCCCCCGTTCACCTCTCCAGTCAGTCGATCCAATTCTACCGTCCACGTCCGCAATCGACTGATCGAAAGAGTCGACATGGCCAGCACGACGTGACGCTCCAGTCACTTCCGATTCTTTTCACCTTTCCGCCGGAGAGATACCCTCTCGAGACGATTGCAGAAGAGAACAGCGGGACACGCCTTTTTACAGCGAGCCACCCCGACCGTACGTTCCGTATTTAATCGGGGTGAATGGTCGGTTATCGACAGCTCCAGATTTACTAAATCTGTCGCAGACAATGGAACTCATTCGTTCGTCCGTTCGTTTGTTCGTTTGCGGACGCTCGCGCGTTACAATTACGAACGTGTAAATTGGGTTAATATCACGTGGAAACGTGCCAGACCTACTTCCGGTTATTCCACCGACCGACCGACCGACCAACCGATCGACCGATCGACCAGGACCGGAATAGGATGTCGAACTTTAACAAACTCGGAAGTAGCGCGATGTTGTCGGAAAGCACCGACGGCGACGGTGATTTTGCGACGCCCCGGCGAACTTTCGATCGTTCTCGCTTTTTGTTCAGCTTGTAAATCCTTCTTATGTGCACCAGTTCGCTAATAATTCAAGTTCTTACGTACAGAATGTTGAAAGAAAGTGTCAAAGCGTCGTCAATGTACAACACATTAAAAAGGGCTATATACTATTAAATACAATACTTATGAAATTTGAAAAAAGAATATAGAATAATATCAAACAAAATTCTATAACAAAATTCCATGTTTCTAAAAGAAAGAGAAATTAAACTTCCATTAAACTGAATTTTATTTAAAGTTATATGACAAAATATTCACTTGCGCTCTTACAGATTTATTTTAATAAAATCATTTTAACAATTAACGTTTTTTAAATACCTAACAGTCGAAACCAAATCACAGGTATTCTCGCGCCGGTCAATCATATCGAATAAAAGTAGTTAAAATTTGTGGATGCGAATCTGCGGTAAAATGCACAAGCCAATAAAGGTTTCTTGATACTCTTTCGATCAGCCAGATTAACTTTTCCCACCGTTCCCGTAAACCGAGGACAGCCGTATATTGTTATAGTAAGGTCTATTAAATTATCAGCGTTCTCAATCGCGGGGCGGTCACTGACGGAACAGCTGGCCTGGTCGCACGGCAAACACGATCGACGCGATGGTAAACCAACACGGATACTTTCGATCTACCAAAGGGAGGAGGCAGGCCCATGGCGCGTCCGTCCTTCGGTGCAAAGCCAGGTGCTCATGAATATGTATCGTATACACGTAGCCAGGGCAGAATGACGGAGTGTCTGTGTATGGGCATAAATTGAACCGAGCGATACCTTTGACCTCCGTTAACTGGCTTTGACGTGGAGAGACGGAGAGGGGAAACAGAGATGGCGAAAGAGAGCGCGCGGGGGTGCGTGCATTGACTTGCCGTCCGCTCGTGTTTTTCGTGTCAACGTACCGGGAAATGGAAGTGAGCCGTTGCAGATACAAGAGAATCGATACACGGAATTACAGAACAGTTCTTTGCAGAGCTTAATTTCCACGGTCATCATGAATTTTTTTTTATTTTTTATTATTCGTGTCCTTGTTAAAAGGACCTTTGAGAGGATAACGCCGGATAAAGTATGTTCCTTTTTTTTATCGCTTTTAATCACGTAAAAGCGTCGTATCATCGCGCTTATAACGACGGTTGCGCCGAGAGCAAGACGATATTTATTTCCCTAGAACGGGAACAAACTTTGTTTGCCGTAAAACGCGGGACGTAAAGTTTTACGGTATCACGATCGACAAGAGGCTACGTCCGGTAATCCAGCCATAAGATCATGCGTGTATATAGTCCCATGATTTCGCGTTTCAAGGTTTAATGCCGACGAACGGCACGAAACGAAATTTTGATCGTATGGAAAGATCGAACGACAAGTTCATCATCAGGGAATTTAGATTTATAACTGTTTAGTCCAATTATCTTGATTAACGTGCAAGAATCATATTTATGTAATAAACTTTTTCATGAATTTCACTTTATTCTTGAAAGATTCGATCGTGACAGAAATTAGTTACGCAATATTTGTTTCAATAAATTTAACAGTGCACGAAAATTGAACACCGTAGGCCTTTTAAGGCACAATCGATTTTTCGTATTTTACAGTTTCCTCTTGACGTTTTAACAGTTAAAAAAATTGCAACAGTTCTGGCCTATGTAAATATAGAGATCACTTTTTGAAACATTGAAGATGATACATGAATTTTTATAGATTTTTTTGTAACACAGAAAAACTTTCAAAAACCCTTTGAACTTAAAAGTCCCAAGGTGAGTGCTCTAAAAGCACGATGTCCGCGCAATGTTAATAAAAGTTGTGTTATTCAACTATTATTCCTTAATTAATCAGTTCGTATCTTATTCGCGAATAACAAAAGTCTTAATAGATTTGTCATAGAATAATTTCACATATTTTTGTGTATTTACCTGTCAATAAATGCGCAGCAAAACAATATTTTTTAAATTTATTTGTCCTCTCTCTATTTAATTCTCATGCCACACAAGTTAATTGGATTGTATGAGAAAGAGTGTCTGCACAAAGTTGCACAAAAAATCGCAAAGAGATGTGAACCGCATGGAAAATTAAATGCATCCAGGGCTTTACTTGGCAGCGATGAGAAAAAAAAAAGAAAGCAACATCGACTCTTCTTTGAAGTCCTAGGAAGCTCGCCTGGTGTACACGGTGTCGTGGAAGAAAGGTCATAGTTCTCGGTAAGTAACGATATTGAATATTACAAACCTTCTGTGCGCGAACGAGCGATTTATATATGTTTATATTTATGAACAGGTAGAAAATCCTTTCTTTTCCCTTTACTTATGGCAGCCCAACAGCTACAGTCTTCTTGAAATTGAGGCGATTACGGTGATTTAAGTTTAATGACATATAAGCTTTGTAAATGCCTCGCAACTTTGTAAAGTATATTTATGCGG